ACTGAAGCTAAGGAGGTCTGGATTTGAGGCCTTTTGGGGGTGGGGACCAAGCAGGATTTCTGTCTAGGGTTTTTATTTCATTTTGGGGTGTGTTTGTGTGTGTGTATGAAAAAAATTCATTTCATGCCTGTTCAGAAGTGAACACAGACAAGTCTGTCTGACTTAAGCAGAGGTCAAAATGTTAGACTCCACCCTTTCAATACATTAAAATATAAACTTGAACAAAAGCGAAAAGCAGGAAGTGAGTTGGAGCAAAGTTGAGCATCTGAGTAAATTTTCCAGTTCTTCTACTTTGGGCTTGCTATTTTTCACCCTCAGCATCTTGAAGGTTTTTGGAAATTTGGTGGTTTTCCTATTGTTGGAGGATGGAGAGTATCGCAGTTGACCCAAAGGTGCTTTTCTTTCCCCAAGAGCCAACTGGACTTTCTGGTTTTTTTTTCTTTGAAGATGTTTCGCTTCTCATCCGAGAAGCTTCTTCAGCTCTGAAGAAGAGAGAAGAGCAGCTGAAGAGAGAGCTGAAGAAGCTTTTCTGCTAAGAAGCGAAAAGTCTTCAAAGAAAAAAAAACCCGAAAGTCCAGTTGCCTCTTGGGATAAAAAAAGCACATTTGGGATAACCGTAACCTGATGGATGATCGAGAATCTCCATAGACCTAAACCTCCAAGTGGCCTCAAGGACTCTCTAAAAAGGATGCAAATGACCGGCTGTCTGCAAGGAGTATCCATCCTTCCCCACCATCCAGTCAGAACTGAAGAAGCTCCTCAGATGAGAAGCGAAACGTCTTCAAAGAAAAAAAAAACAGAAAGTCCAGTTGCCTCTTGGGATAAAAAAAGCACCTTTGGGACAACTTTGACCTGATGGATGATGGAGAATCTCCCTAGACATAGACAGTTGACCTCCACCGCCCAACAAAATGATCGTTTTTCACGTAGGCATCCTGGGTGGGTAACCATTTAAAAACAAAACAAAGTAATCCATCATGCAACGAAAATTGTCAATCCCTGCAAGGAAAAAGAAAAACGGCATAGAAAAAATAATTCCTGAAGTCTTCTTACAGAACACACACACAAAAACACGTATATGTTTGAATCCGAATAGACGGAGAGCACTAGGACCCATCAGACCTCGCCTGCCGCCACCACCGCTGTCTCTCCTACGCACACGGCGCCTTTATGGCCGCCCCTCTGTTTTCCTCCCCGCCCTCCGCGAAGCGCATGCGCACACGCAGCCCCGGCCGGCGGCCTCCGCTAGACCTCACCGGCCCCCCCCCCGCTTTACCCCGGTTTCCGGCCACTTCCGAATGGCGGCACTAGTACTTCCGGGTCGGCGCGTCCCGTGGCTGAACCTCGCAGCGTTGCCCGCGACTCCGTGAAGCGACCCTCCTCCCCACAGGCCGCGGTTTCGGAGGCCCCCCCTTCCCCCCCAAAACACACGCCCCCACGCCTGGCGGGGGTGGGGGAACGGTAGCGACGGCGGCGCCCGCCCGGCCCGTAAGTCCATTGCAGGCCTGCCTGGTTGGGGAATCCTCACCCCCCCCACCCCACCCCCGTCCTGGACTCCAGGTCCCATCGTGCGCGGCCTGTGGGGAAGGAGGGACGAGCCCTCGATGGGGCCCGAGAGGCCCTGGATGAAGGGAGCGCCCTTTGGGGGAGGGGGAGAGGCTGGGGAGGGAAGGGCTGGGGGGAGGGGTGCCCTCCCCCCCCCCCCCCCCCCCCCCCCCCGGCAAGGGTGGGGGGGCTCTCTCCCCCCCCCCCCCCCGTGGGCCCCCCCCCCCCCCCCCTAGTCTCCCCCCTCCCCATACTGTCCCTAGAGGGATTAGATTACAACCCCTTCCCTCCCCCCCCATAAAAGAGACCAGGGGTGACCAATTGCCACCCTTCAAGAACCGGTGGACTCCAATTCCCAGAATCCCTGCTCCCTTCTTGTCCCTGCAGGGATTCTGGGAGTTGGAGTCCACTGATTGCGGGGGTGGGGGGGGATCTTAAGACTCTCCCTTATTTGCAGGGATTGGGATGGAAATAGGGGGGAAGGGGGCTTTGACTCCCAAAACTTGACCCTTACCCACCCACCCCTAAGGCTGACCTTTGACCCCAAGGGGCTCTGCTGTGGCTTATGGGGCGGGCGGTCCTGTTTTTTTCTCTACCTCCTTTTTTCCGCCTCCGAGAAAAAAAGGCTTTTTCTTCCCCCCTTTGTTGTGGTTGACTTCCTTAGGCCACTGCCATGCAAAACAAGTGAATGGGGGAGGAGCCAATATGCTAATTTGTTGTTGTTGTTGTGTATTTGGAGTACAAGAAATGCGAACTGCTAAAACCTGTTTTGCTGTCTCCCAAACTTTTCCCTAAGGCAAGCCAATTATTTTCCCAGGGCGGGGGATCTGTATGCCGCAAGCGTAGTATGAGTTTTATCAAAATTTAAAGAGTCATCTCGTTTTGGGGGGGGTGTTTTTTTTTAAATCAAATGCTCCCCTTCCCTAAAATGGATCCCAGTTGGTTTCAAGTCCACTTCACTTTGGGATTGTGAATTGTGGCAGAAAAGTTATTATTTCCTGCGACAAGACATGGGATGCTGGAGTCACCGATGTAATATTGACGTGAAATCATCGCGAAGTATGGGAAACGCATCGTGTAAACCTGCTTTTGTTAAAAACGCTTCCTGGTTTTTCCTTATTGGGAATGGAGGATATGGATATGATTCAGCCTTCCCCAATTTGGGACCCTCCTGCTAATTTCCCCACTTTGAAATATAGATTTAATATAGAAATAGAAATATAGATTTATAGAGTTGGAAGGGACCTTGGAGGTCTTCTAGTCCAACCCCTACTCAGGAAGGAAATTCTACACCATTCAGACAAATGGCTGTCCAATTTCTTCTTAAAAACCTCCAGTGTTGGAGCATCCAGCACGTCTGAAGGCAAGTTCTTCCACTGATTAATTGATCTCACTGTCAGGAAATTACTTCTTAGTTCTAGATTGCTTCTCTCTTGATTAATTTCCATCCATTGCTTCTTGTTTTGCCTTTAGGTGCTTTGGAGAATAAATTGACCCCCTCTTCTTTGTGAGAGTCCCTTAAATATTGAGACTCTGCTATGAAGTCACCCCAAGTCCTTCTTTTAATTAAAGTAGATATTCCCATATCTTGGTGGGTAGCAGCATGAGTTACATCTTACCATGTTATAGAATTAACCCAGCACTGTTATTCTGCAAGAATATAGGAGCATGCCTTCTCTGTTGCGGCACTAGCCTCTGGAAATGACATTTCGTGAAATATTCATACAGTTTCCATTCTAATGATGATCATAAAATCATTCTTTAAAAATCCATTGTTCTCTTAGGCTTTGCTGTCGGTTGATTGCATAGTCTCTGTGTTTTGAGGTTTGGAGTTTTTATTGGTTGTGAGTCATCCTTTGGTTGGTTATGATCTTTCTTTTTCTGTCTGTGTTGTTTTTCTGCTATTAATTACAATCCACCCAGGATTCTTAGGTTTAAATGACACTTGGCTGGGAATGCAAAGAATTCCCAGCGCTGCATTAAAGAAGGTTTGCTTTTATACACCAGTTTGTGTTTGTTTAATTTGAACAAGGCTTGGGCCAGAACACCCAGGTTGGAGACCCCTGCTGTAGAAGATGCTAGAAGCCTCTGCTAGTGAAATGGCCAAATTAATGCCAAATGAAATCATTGGTGCGAATGCAGATAATGTTTGCCGCAATCAACATTTCTGGCAAGAGGAAGGGATGGCCGTGTGGTCACACGATTTATCAACATGTTGCCGGTAGCCTCGTTCGATATTGTGGCCTAATGTCTATGAAAACATAATCAAGCCAAACTAAAACCACGCGTTTGCTATTGTGGCATGGTAGCGCTGCTTTCTCGCTTGTGTGTTGTTCCACGGCTGTTCTGTGGTTGCTGAGAAACTGTAGTCAAAGGTGGAATTGTTAGTCAATAATTGCACACCTGATTTCCTTTTTTACACCCACTTATGTTTTCCGGTCTTGAACTCCGAAGGAGGATGGCAATTGCTTGCTTTGAATAGGACAGAAAGATGCATGGGGTCCGTTTGGCTGTTGAACTCTTTAGCATGTCTTTCAGCTGAATCCAGACTGCTTCCGTTGCTTCTTCAGTTCCACAGAGGAGCAGCAATGGATTAGCCCAGCTTCTAAATCTAGCCGACTAGGTTGTCGCAATTTTTCTCGCTGATCGTTTACATTTATCAGCTGCTGATAAGGTGAATTGGTCGCTTGTGGTAAGGATGCAGCTGTTCTTCACCAAAATCAGTCGGCAGACCGGACAGGTCTGGGGCAAAAACGGTCCACTAAAAGTTCATCTTGTTCCATCAGCGATTATGTGAATTTTGCTATGCAAGTTAGCCTAATTTTCGGTTTAGTTGGCCACATGACCATGGAAAATGTCTTTGGACAACAGTGACTCCTCCGGCCAGGAAACCCCCAGCACCTTGGTCTGGAGTTGGACACGATTGGACAGGGGAACCCTAATCTATCCCTGGACAGGGGAACCTTAAATCAATTTATCTATCCATCCATCCATCTTTTATTATCTATCTATCTAATCTACCTATCCATCCATATCTATCTATCTGTATTTATGTATCTATCTTATTATCTATCTACCTACCTACGTACATACATACCTATCTACTTTATCTATCTATCTCTATCATCTATCCATCTATCATCTATCTATCATCTATCTATCAATCGATTGATCGATCTATTGATCGAACTATCAATCTACTATCTATCTTGGAATATCCACATAACTCGTACAAACAACATTCATACTGCAATATGCACTACCCTTCTGTGAGTAAGACAATGAATTAAAGTAGCCACCTCTGATGGGGTATGGTAGGCTGCATTCCTACGAGGGAGAGGTTGATCCCGGAGCAGCAAGAGGCAGCTGAGCCTGGATATCATTTGTGAGAGGAAGAGGGTGAAGACAGCTCCTCCTTAATAGTTTCCCCCCCCCCCCAAAAAAAGGGGATCACGTGACTATGGGACTCTGTAACTGTCATAAATATGAGTCAGTGGCAGAGCATCTGAATTTTGCGTGGCCACAGTTTGTAAGTCACGGTGGATCGTTTTGAGCTCTGCTAAACTGTTTGGCCAACTACTAGACTGGGGGTCGGCAGCCTGCACCTCTGGAGCCACGTGCAGCTCTTTCGGCCCTCTGTTGCGGCTCCCTGTTGGGTGATCCCACCACTGGCTGGCCCGGCCCCTCACCCTCCCCTCCCAGTCACTCCTCACCTGGCACGAGAAGGTAAAACACAAAAAAACAGAAATGGGAGGAAGGGGGGGAGAGAGAGAGGGAGGGAGGGAGAGCGCCATTTCCCACAGAAAACACCGGGAGCCAAAAAAAAACCTGGGTAGACGTGGCGGAGTGGTGTGTGTCATGTGACTGGGTGGGAGTGACGTTGAGTTGGCCACGCCCACTCTAGTTTTGTGGCTTCCGGCGTTTTCTGTGGGAAACGGGTCCAAATGGCTCTTGGAGTGTTGTAACGTTGCCGACCCCTGTACTAGATCACCTTTTATTTTATCATCTTTTATTTTATTAATCAGACATCACGCATTAAACATGGCGCAGCATAACCTCCGAAGCCGGTCCGTGTCAAAAATCGTAAAAGCTGTGATTCCAAAAAAAAAAAAAAAAGGAAGAGTGACAGGCTTCAAGTGCAGCCAAATCGAAAACAAGAGGCTGCCTTTAAAAAAGACATTAAAAGCCAAACCAAACCAACCTTCTCCCATCCTGTTCCGAGCAATATTGAAATGAAGAATGGCCTCACTTTGTCATCTGTTCCAATTGATGTTCCACTCTTTCGCGTTGACAGCTGAAAAGGCCCACAGGTGCCATATAAAGAGGTGACCACGTTGTCATATTTCATTTAGGCGTCCCTCTGCAAAGGCATAATTACCTAATTAGGTTGTTAATTAGGAGATTAGCATTTCGCTCTATTGATAGAATGCTCTTTGCAGGCAGGAGTCGAGAAAACAGATTTGTTGGTCTAATTTATAAGTGTGGGGGGTTTCTTCTTCCCTTCCTCCCCCAGACCCAATACTGATTTGCTTAAAATATTCGGGGAGAAAAATTCTGCGTTCTCAGAGGTAGGAAAGCTTTTTTTCTGGAGACCCCGCCGTTTAGACGTGTCAGCCATGGCTAAGCGGGTTGGCCTTCTCCAGTTGTCCACCTGGAAGACACCCAGGTTGGAGAAGAAGAATAGAGATGATTTGCTAGGATTTCTTTCATAAAAATCTCTCTTCCTCCTCTTCTCTTTTTCCTCCTCCTCCTCTTCTTCTCTTCCTTCCTCCTCTCCTTTCCTCCTCTTCTCCTCTTTTCCTTCTGCTCCTCCTCTTCTTCTTTCCTTCAATTCCTCCTTCTCCTCCTCTGCTTTCATCTTCCTCCTCTTCTCCTTTCCTTCTCCTGCTCTTCTTCCTCTTTCCTTCTCCTCCTCTTCTCCTTTTCTCCTCTTTTCCTTCTCCT